AGCCTTTTCGATCTCAGTAGCCTCCCGAGTGATTCATTCAACTCCTGCGATAAGGATGTCGTCCCTCGCGCCCTCCGTTGATATCCTGCTCAATGATGTGGTGGAGAAGGAGCTCGACATTCAGCGCACCATCTACAATTTGGTGGAATGGGACAAGCTGATGAAGCAGTTCCAGACGCAGGCAGCGATTGCGACTATCCCTGAACCGGACACGGTGACTCGGACTATCGCATCGCAAGAACAGGCGCCGGGAGTGATGCTGGGAGGAACCCTAGCCGGGAGCAACTCAGAAATTGCTTATTGGGACTTAATCCAAGTCCTAGGGCGCAACGGCGCAACGCCCCAGCGGAATTTCGCGCTGTGCCATGCCCCTCGGAAGAGGCGGTCGACATTTTGGTCATTGGAGACTCTTCCTGCGCCATGGTCGAAGAGCCGAACGACAAATTCCCGACCAAGCACCATGTGGCGGAGCTGCTTCAGGCCGAACAGCTGAAGGGGGTCCGCAACGTCTACCACGGCGTGGATTGGGGAAAGGGGCTTGACGCTATTTATAGCACCATGGAGGCCAAAGTGCGATTCATCGCCGAGGACAACTCCAAGAAGGGCATCAAACAGCTTCCCATTTCGGTTTACGTATTGTGGGGAGGAAACGATGTCTTCGCCAACTATGGGTACGTGGGGTGCAGATGGATCCATGAGAAACGGTTAAATCGTACGGAGGCGGGCCGGAAGGCCGCGTCGGAATGGCCAAAGGTTCAGAAGACCCGTGTGTTTGAGCAGCTCGACTTCTTCAAGGAGGCTGTTGGGCTCGGACGCATTCGGGACATTACTTTCATCAGTAACCCGGACGCCGAGGACTATGGCCTCACTTCCGATTACAATGAGGCATGAACGGCTGCCTTCGACACCTTGCGGATGGGGACATCGACGATGGGACCCGCATCAAGGCGATCGACTCGATCGACCCGTCGGTCATGACATTGCTGGATCACGGGTACGATGACGTGCATATGACACACAGCAATGCCAACCGGAAGGTTGTGTCGAAATTCCTTCATGCGGCAATCAACACGCAGCTGTTGGCCCAACGGATCAGGTGTGCTCTCCCGGCGATCGGGAGCGTTGAACCCTATGTGAAAGGAGAACCGGTGGATCCTGTGCTGTTTGGCTGGCCCACATGTTTGAAGCTGGCCAAAGCACTCCACGAGTATGCTGCGATGAAGGAGAAGCCCGACTGGTCCCATGACCAGGAGGGCGAGGAGATCGACGCCGACGTGGCCGCCTGGATGAAAGTGGCTGAGGACGAGTCCTACAATGCCATGACCATCGAGATGCGGGGGGCCACGGTCGACGAATCCAAGATCATTCTCGAGGCCGTCGACAAGGGAGAAGAGAACTCCGACGACGAGCTAGACCGCGTCGAGATCGCCATGTCACAACACATTGGCCACACAGCGGAACAGCACGGGTTGTCCATTGTGCCTGACGATGAGGACAAGGACAAGTGGCTCCTGCTGGGCGATGACACCCAGGATTTCGGGAGGGACCCAACCAACCTGCCCCCAGGAGTGCACCGCGCTGCGCCGGAAGGCCAGTCGCATCATCGCGGAAGGAGATTTGTTCGACCAGGAGACGGTTGTGTCATTGGAACTGGTGTCAGAAGCAGATGAATCCGAGGCGGCAGGGATGAGTTCCATGATCGCCGCAGAGTCGGTCGCTTTTGAGTCCGTGACGGAGGGCGCCAGCACATCCAAGCAACCGCCAACTCCGCCGCCACCAAGGCGCGGAACTGCTGCAAAGAGCGCTGTGGGGGAACCCCAGTCGACTGGTTTCATCGAGATTGGAGACGAGTCGGACCCCACGGCTGCCGGTTCGGCCGACAAGCCCCAGGTGAAGGCGATGCCGGGGACTGCAAAGGCCAAAGCGCCGCCTGGCAACGCCGAGGGGGAACCCCGGTCGAAGAAGCAGAAGGACCCGAAGCAGGAAAAGATCTTTTGGGAGGACTGGGCCAAAACCCGGAAGATCAACACGAAGATCCCGGCCGAGGAGCAGTGCGAGTGGCTCGAGGTTGAGGATATGGGGCATGCCTTGGGAGGTGATGATCTGCATCCGGAATAACAATACCCGGAGATTCCGCGTGATGGTTGGACCCCCTCCATTGGGGGAAGCATCCTGGAAAGGGTTGCCGTATCAGGCGTTGCGGGTGAGGGCCGTGCAAGGACACCACAACGAGCTCACCAGGAAGCACACTGAGCAGGCGATTCTGACGAATTTGTATTCCTTTGACGAAGAGTTCACTGCGGCGAAGTACTTGGGCGGGCAATACCCGAGAGCGGTACGGCAGGGGATTCCCTGCTGTTCTCTACCATACCTGTGACCTCAGGTCTGCCGAGAGCATTATCAAGTTTGGCCTGGTCCCGGGGGCTATCCGAAGTCGACAGGCAGAGCCCACGTCTACTTCAACCCCACGCCACCCTGGGAGGCACAGATGAGGAAGCTGGCGGGAACGCGAGCCGGAAGGCCCGTCACGATTGCTTTCGATACGGAGCTCATGATGCAAGACGGCATGCGACTCTTCACAAGCGATGAGGCGTTTATGTCTGCCGATTGGGTTGGAAATGCATATATCATTTACGCTTTCCATACCCGCAAGAACAAGTTCCTCTATTTCAATCGTGCGTACCCCGAGCTTCGCAAAAGGTACCGCGAAGCGTTGACATCCGAGCTCACGCCAGGTCCCCAGGATGCCAATCCGAACTTCTTCAGAAGTGAAAACACCCTGACCGCAGAAAAGGCTTGGAGGCATTGGCGGACTGTCGTTGAGGGGGCAAATTGCTTCCTGGTGCCGTGACTGAGATTGCCACGATCGATGAGCTCGCTCCCCGGAAGGGGAAGTCGAATGAGAGACCTGCAGGGCCGACATATCAGGTTGCGCCCGCAACCCTTCGACGGGTGCCCGAGCCCTCCCCTGGAGAGAAGGGGCATGGTCGCGGCTGGAACAACCTTCGGAGCCGCTACCAGAACGAGCCAAAGTGGGAAGACCTCTTTTTCACGACCATGATGAAGAACCCGGTTGTGAAGTGCTGGAATAAGAGGTGTGGCAACCAGCAGATCGACGGCTACCTTTTGTGTCAGGATTGCCGATCAGATATGGTCGAGTGGACGGATGCCCGGATCGCCACCGAGGTTGTGCGCCTTGAGCACACCGCGTCTCTCCAAAACATGGTCTTCTACTTGGAAGACCTCCAGGGGGGCGGTGGGAAGTGGATCCGCTCCAAGCATCACGCCAAGGAAGGCGACAAGCGGGGAGGAATCTCCGTCAAGGCGTCACTCAGAAAGACGGCAAAGACGCATCTGACCAAAGCGCTGGCAATGGGCTGTGAGAAGGTGTCTGACCGCCTCTCGGTCGACCCGTTCTATGCCTATAATTGCGCTACGCAAGGGTTGACTCCTGAAAGCCTGGACTTCCTAGGCAGGATCGCCCGAGCGGTCGTTGCAGACCCTGGCCGCACACGGGAGGAGCGCGATCGGGGAGGGTCTCAGAACACTGGCACGAAGTTGGTGTTTATTCCCAGCCCCAACAAGCGCGACCCCCACGAGTTGAACGTGTCAACGGAGGCTTTCATCGCGCACCATGCGAGATTCTACACCATCATGCAGTTTGCGGTCATGTGTGCCTATCGTTTCATTCCCGGAAATCAGGTGCCTATCATCATTGGGCACAGCGGAGCATACGTCCCGGAAGGGAGCGTCGAGAACATCTTGGAGGTGATGATTAGCTTTATCCGCACCTCCTGGGCAAAGCACGACTCCCAAGGAACGGTTAGCACAGGCGAACTGGAGATCCCGCAATTCTCATCCGGCCGGACAAGAAGCTATCCCGTCGAGGCGAGGAGCACTCAGTGGAGGGCAATCACCCGGTCCATCCGCCCCGAGCCCTATGCCAAGGGAAAGGGCAAGGGCAAAGGCAAGAAAAGGGGCGCCAGGACTGGAGCTGTTGGAATTACGGGTGGTCCTTATATGGATGGGATCAATGGCGTCAGGGCCCGTGGGGATGGTGAGCACCCGCACCAATCACGAAAAGTTTAGCTTTTGTTGCGGTAACCTTTTCCTTCTTCATTGGTGATGTCATGTTTGAAACCTATTATCTTTCATCCATTGATGCCGCAACATTAGCTGTGCCATGTTTGCACGCCCGGCGGAAGCTGCGGCCGTAGGTCAATCCACGGCCGCCACCACCGGCTGTCATTTCGATTTTTGCCCAGCGGAAGCTGTGGTCGTGAGATCACCTCCGTTTGCGGCAATAAATATGAATTCAGTTTCAAGCATTCACATGAGAAATCACATGTGTATTGCCCGACGGAAGTCGTGGTCGGCCGACTCGATTGGCATGCTCCTGCAAAAGACTCAATGCATTGCAGTTGCAGCGGCCATTGGTGCAACAGGCCCCAAATCACCATGGCTTGCCACTTATCACACTGAGGCTCAACGTCTTCATCGTCGCGACCTCAGAGAACTTTGCTTCAGGCCTGGGGGGAAACATGTACAAAGTACTGTTCTCACCAACGCACCTCTGCAAAGCGGGGGGTGTTGATAGGTAGTGGCATTTCGACATGATATTGGCTCAAGAAAAATTGACTGCCGCCCGTGCTGACATTTAGGTAGATTTCACCTTTCAACAGAAACACCCATAGGCCAACCTTACTATTGGGTTGAGAGCAAAATTTCCCGACTCTGACATTTTGATGTGCCGACCCCAAAAGATTGCAAACAAGGACAGAAAACACAACGTCCGCGCCCTAAGAATCGAATGGTACCTCTTGTGAGGTGAAGCTTCCAATGGCCTACCCCTCTCCAATGGTCTTTCTGGTGGCAACATATGACTCATTTGCGTTTCTGTTTATTTTTTCCTGTGGGCGCGTCACAGGACTTGCAGGGGAGGTGAAACGAACTCTCCGGCGATTCCTTGGGGCGTGGAATCGCCCGGGAGCTTTCGCGAGGCGTTCAGACCTGGCGCAGCCCGGCTGGGCTGGCCAAGGGCGAGAGCGGGCATGCCTTCGATACCATGAGGAGGACCAATGGTTTTTTTCGGGAACAGCCTTGGGAAACCAGTATAGGTGTCCTTTTTGGTTGTTCTGGTAGAAAAATAGATGGCCCTGGAACAACCGTGGTTTCATCATCTACGTACCAGGGCCCTCTATTTTCCCAAAAGGAGACCCATTGAAACCACAGTAACACTACTGTGAACTCCGCAGCCATGGCACCCCATAGCCGTATTTCCAACTCGTACACATCGCTTCGGGTTGGGCCAACTTAAACGGCTGACCAGGAAAGCACAAGCTTCAGATGATGTTCCTGGTAGGCCCCAAATCCGATGAACCGTTTGAGGTTAAAAGCTAAAATGGAACGCAGCGTCCCCAATTGTTTTTGACATCAAGATAGACTCTCAACCAAGGTTCCCTTCTGGGGACATCACCAACGTATTTGCGTTTACCTTGGGGTGCTCGAAAAATCGCCTCGGGTTGCAACTCGAGGACGTCGTTCTTGGAGACCAATCGCAGCGAGGAGAGCGAAGAAACTGAGGCAGAGGGCGAGTTCGAGTGGCAGACGGATGTCGAGGCAAGATGAGACGAGGGTAATCTACTTTACCACAAAAAAGGAAACAGTGAAGCAGTGATAGATTATTCCCTTGACTGAATCCTCACAGAACTCTGACCTCCGCCAATTTGGGTGCATTAATTAAAGTTCATATCCAAATGGCCGCCTTAAAGCCTCCAAAAGCCAAGACTCAAACATCCACAACACAGACACAAATATCCCTCCACCCCATCCACAACTCCCCTGGCAAAAAAAAACAACAACAGGAAGACAGATAGTCATTCCCCGCCCCCCCCCAACCAAAAAATAACGGTTCAAGAACCCCATCCAAACGTCAGGATCTGTACTTGGCCTCCGTCGACTACGGCCATCGCTTTGCCGCCAACAAGACCTCCGAGCTCCGTGGCAAGGCGGCGGCACGGCGGCTCAGCGAGACGGCCACCAAGGCGCGCGCGAAGCGATTTCCGCGGGCGGAAACGTCGAAGCGGCAGGTAGGCAGAGGTGTCCTTAGCTCGGGAAATGGATGTCTTCGGTTTAGATTTGGTTTTATGCAGGGCTATGGAGTTAAACAGACATGGTAGGTTGCAATGGTAGATCGGGGAATGGGCGTCGGCTGGACTGGCTCGAGAAAAAAGCTGATCGACTGGACGGCTCAACATGCCCAAAAAAGAAATCGCGTGACACACTCAACCGAATGCTGTATGTTTGTTTTTTCCCCCCAGTCTCATTTGCGAGCCTCTTGGCGACGAAAATGGCGGGCTTCGGTGTTACTTTTTTGGTGCCCCAAGCTCTTTTTGCGCAACGCAGGGCTGTCCATGTGCCCTTTCCATGAATGAGGCGGATTCCGCAACGGAGCTGTTTGGCTTCTCCAAGCAGGGGATGATGAACCTGCAGGTCAAAGGCTTGCTGGATGGCCGCTGGGGTCTGGACCAACATCTGTGTCCAAGAATTTGTGTATATGTTAACATCTGTCCAATGAAACTTTTATATGTCAACATGACTCTCGTTATGTCTCCAATAGGCATTTGTATTTATATGTCAATACACCAACCGCCTTCCAAAGCCACGTTGTTCTTTTTCTTCTTCTTTCTTAAGAAACAAAGCACTTAAAGATCTGATCAGCTGGCCCAGGCACCTCTCTGGAGCTGGACATCCAGATGGGCTTGGGGCCCTTCCAGAGCCCGGCGCGACGGATCCCTCTGCTGGACCTCCGGCAGCAGCTGGAGGCGGCGCTGCAGGGTCTCCCCTTCATCTCGCAGAGCAGCAGGGATAAGGCGCCGGACAGCGCCGGACAGCGCTGGACCCTGGTTCCAAAATTCAAATGGGGTGTGGGTCAAAACTAAACCATCAGGAATTGGACCACAGGTTATAGTCCTTGCTTACATATACCAGGGTTCCACTTTGGGTACCGATTTTTGACTCACAGCCTAGCTTGGGACCAAACATTAGGATGATGAAAGTCCAATTAGGTAAATAAGAGTGGTTAGATCAACCCCCTTTGATTGAGTAGTGGGAACTGAAGCTCAGGGTTGGGGTCAGTTTTCCTCCCTCAGACTAGCCGGAAGTTGTTTTGAATTGGGGCCTTAAATGGGTTACCAGGTCTTCCATTTCGGGGTGCGTTCGGGGAGCTTCCGGCTGTTTGTCGGGGGAGGGTACTTTGACTGCTTCTAGGGGTTATCAAAGTCACTCTGATAGTGGTGAAATAATGGGGCCAGTCTTTTCTCTGGGGGTTTTCGTAGCCCCGTTTTTTCTGTTTTGAACGGAGAGCGCCTGTGGCTTGTTTTTGGGATTCTTGTTCCGAAAGATGTCAATAAATGTGAATAGAACGGGGGCCATCATCCTAAAACAAGCAACAGACAACCATCGTTGCCACTTGGCTCAAGGCTCAAGTGCATGCTGTAGGTTCCGATTGTCATCGTGCCATCACAGCGGTATCAGAAAAGATCGAGCTTACGGGAAGGGAGCCGGTTCGAGGATATTCGTGCCCTCGCCTCCTTTCCGAGGGATAACACACACACACACTGCGTTATCGGGGCATCAAGAGAACCCCTCGGTTTCTCAGGCTATCAGCCGTAGGGCTTGTCCCACGTGCTGTGAGACAAGATTGATTCGAAGCGAGAGGTCGTGAACCCCGCTTCACATTGAATCGATCGTTTTATTTACTCGCATTGCCAAGTGGTGCAATACTTGCGTGACAATGTCCGATGGTAGATCTTCGATCACAAACGTGGCACCTGCTGCCGGAATTTCATCTCAAGGAACACCGGAATCAGACGGCGCAAGGGCTTCCTCCCGGTTGAGAGCACCGTCGCCTTCAGATGAGGACGATGGGCGGACACGAATCCGTAAATCTCGTAAGGGAGTTAAGTCATCCTCCCCAAGGGGTTCCCCAAGTCGGACCAACAACTCGATGATGAATTGCGGAAAGCCCAAAGAAAAGCGGACGCACAGATGAGTGAGGCTGCAGAACAGCTTGATGAGAGCAACGCGTTGAAGAAGGAATGTGCATCGTTGCCATCAGCCATAGACAGACTGGAATCTGATAAGGCGGGAAGCCTGCAGAGGATCCTGGGGCTTGTTGAATCCCAAGTTGCACATGTTCATGGTAGAGTGGTTTTCAGAGTGGAACACTTGTACAAGTTGACCTACCCTGGCGACAAGAAGATGGGAGATTTCAAGCAGCGATGGCTTGAGATTATCGCTGGAATCAAACCTGAGTCTGTTCCGCAAGAGGAGGAGTTGAGAGACACGCTGTGTCGACAGGTGAAAGGAAATTCAAAGAAGTTGGAAGTGGATTTGAAACTGTATGGACCATGGAACGTAATGATCCCGCGAAAACGCATAAGTACTTGCTCAACGTGATTGATCGGCGGGTGAAAGCAACCGGGGAGGAGCAGAATTGGGAAACAAGGAGAAGTCGCTCAAGGATCACAAGTTGGGTAATGCGCTTCCCTCTCCCAAAGAGAAGGCGAAGCCCAAACCGAAGGCGAAGTCGGAGGCGAAGTCGGAGGCGAAGGATGCCCAAAATTTGACACCCGTTCTTCCTGACAAGAAGAAGCCGAAGGAGAAGGCTAGGCCACGGGGGAGGTCACCTTCCAAAACCCGAGATCCTTCCCCCTGGTGGTAACAAGAATGTTCCATGCCAGTTTCATTTCTTTCGTGGGAAGTGCACGAAGGGCTCCGATTGCAAATGCAGCCATCAAAAGAGTGCTTACGCTGCAGAATGGAAGAAGAAGTTCGAAAAGGGCCCCAAGCGTAGCAACTCCCCAGCCGGGGAGCGTCCCAAGAACGATGGAGTTTGTTCATTCTGGAAGAAAGGGACACGCAAGAAAGGGAAGGCCTGCAAGTTCAAGCATCCAAACAACTCGGCGCCGGCGGAGAAGGGTTCTGAAACCGAGAGTGAAGCGGGGTCCGAGAAGAAGAAAAAGAAGAAGAAGAAGGCGAAGGCTGCCCCGGTGATATCCACGGCTTCCTTGTGGGAGGATTCTGAGAGCGAAGCAGCTCGAGCCAACCTTCAGCGAAGAAGAAATTGTGGATTGCGACGCTGAGACCGAATGCGCTCCCGCTACCCCGAGAGCCAAGCTGTATTACCCCAAGGAGGGGGGAAGAAGACAAAGAGCGTGGTTTTCCGGGATTGGGTTGAGTACGATAATGGTGATGTTAGCAATCAAGAGAGCATTATGGCAGCCGTCAGGGCCGCAAAGGCTGGTGAACTGCGGGGAAATCGTGTCCGTGACTCGCAGACTTTCATGGTCTATAGGGGAGAACTGTGATAAGATTGACTATGTGGATAGAGCTAGGAAGAAAGGGGATGGACCTGTAAGCGGTGATTTCGAATCCTTGAGGGAAAAATGTGCAATCGCCATGGCGGTGAAGTCGGGTAAGCCCAAAAGGACGAAATTGCTCATGGACACCGAAGGTGGCGGATAAGCTAGGTCTCAGTCCGAGGATGAGTTCAGAGGCAATGACCTTGATGACGGCGAACGGTATCATCGAAACCGATCAAAAGGTTGACCTTGTCATAGATGCAATGAAGGACACAATTTCGCCTTTTGTGATGGAAGAATCTCTGTCTCTTGTCCATTGGAAAGAGATGTGCTGACAATGGGTATGGTTTCTGTGGATGCCCGGTGAAGAACCTATCATGTTCGATGATCGCAAGTCTGCGATACGCCTTTGTGTCAAGGATCACAGGTAACCAATGATGAAACGGAGCAGGGGCCTTTGCGGAAACTCACAGAGTCAGCTCGGAGTTTTGGATTTCCCCGGAGATAATGCGTTGGATCCGTCTGGAGGATTGACTTCATCGCTGGACGAGACACCAACCGCGGCGCCGGCAGAGGAGCCCGGCGAGGTAGAGGAGGGCGATGCCGATGAAAGGGACGAAGGTGGAAGCGGCGATGAGGATGAAGTTGAAGTCGATGTTGAAGCTGGAAGGGGCGTGAAGCGGAAGAAAGGAACTCTTAAGCATGAAGCGGATACGTTGCAACACACGGTTACCCACAGGTTCGCAAACCTTTATTGTGATGCATGTGTCCGAGCAAAGATGCGGCATTTCAAGACCAAGAAGGGTGCGTTCAAACAACAACTCAAAAAGTGGGGGGACCTTGTGATGCTCGATTTCCTGACACCAGAAAGATTAGGACAATTGGGAATCGAGACAGACACCAATGTTTTCGTTGTGCGTGACGGATGAGGTTGTCAGATGTTTGAAGGAGTTCATGGGAAGACGAAAGATTCGGGTTGCTTAAAGAGATTCTACACGCACCTCAGTTTGTCAGTGCGTGTCAGCAGCTGGGGATAACGTTTGATCACTCGCTGCCCGGCCGGCCCATGAACAATCTCTATGTGATCGATCAGGTCAGGCTGCTGGATTACGTACCATATGCATGGTGATCATTGCTGTGGCAAAAGTATACCACTAGGAGCCTATGTTCATTTCAATCCTTCTTTCACAAGAGATGACACGCACAAGTTCGCGCCCAGGTCAATGAGGGGTAAGATGCTCGTATGGGAACTGGATAAATTCCTAATTGACCATGGGATGTAAATCCGTGCCAATGAGTTGCCCCATATGGTGGACAAGGTTGTGATGGTTCAATCATTGCCTTTCCACTAAAGAGCACCTTCAAGAGGGTGAACGGGCTCTTATCAAGGCTTTTTGAGAGAAGGAGACCCGACAAACAGGGACGTTATTGGAGCGTTAGTACTCAGCGCTGGTTATCTCACTAGGTCGTGTCCAGAACCGCCAGAATTCGTGTACTGCAGAATTGCAGTGAGTTTTGAATGTCTCACGACATGAAATCCTGCAATCCAAAATAGTTTTGAGTCGGCAAGTCGATGGGTTGCGACATGATGGTCCCACAGTGAAAATAGCTTCACAATTTCAACGCCTCTGCGCAGATGCCTCACAATGAGGCATACTGCGTGGGGTGTGTGAATAGAACGGGGGCCATCGTCAAAAAACAAGCAACAGACAACCATCGTTGCCATTTGGCTCAAGGCTCAAGCGCATGCTGTAGGTTACGACTGTCATCGTGCCGCCCTCACCCCCTTTCCGGGGGATAGCACATACACTGCGTTATCGGGGCCGCAAGAGAACTCCTCGGTTTCTCAATAAAAGTAGAAGAAACACTGCAAGGCTCGGTGGGCCTTGTTTAAACACGGCAAAGGGGAGGTTGATGCCCCCACAAGAGCTTGGTCTCTCTCAAGTTCTGTTCTCAGACCACATGGTCTTGCTTCAATGTGAAACGAGCGTACTGGTCCATTTTGGCAAATCCCCGCAAAGACCTTTGGGGGGATCTCCCCATAAAGGAGAAGCTCGGGGTCAAAACAAGCCACCAGTTGGGCCTTGTTCAATCACGCAACCCCAAGAATCCTCCGAACCCTTCTAGCCCGTCAGAAGGTAAGCAGGGTGGGGCCAACCTGTTGTTGGTATCACATTCCAAGCGCTGAACGGTTTGAATCCGTTGAAGTTTGCCTCCCTAAGTGGGACGACCCGGCGCTTGTTTCAGATGGCAGTGGGTCAAAAATGGGTAAATTTGGAAAATGGAACCCTGGTAAATGGAAAAAACCAAACCCGCTCGTACCCCCAGCTCTTCAATCTTGCGCCAGATATCGCAGGCCCTTGGCACGCTGAACCACTTCGCAGTGGTGGACACCAGAAGCTTCGAAGGCCTCAGGCTGAAGCCTGGATCCACGGTGGCTCTGCACAGCACGGTGCACAACCGCTTCGTGGTGATGAACGATCACAAGATGTTTCTTGGCCAGCCATCCCCCTAGCCTTTTTAGCCCAACAAGCCTTTTGGCTTTTTAGTGTTCATAGTTTTTCATAGTTTCCGTATTTAACCCACTAAAAAAGTTCGTCACTTTTAGCGGGGATCTGAGCCCAGGTTTGGCGGCATACACAGAAATCCCGATCCGTTTAGACCCTCGATGACCTGGGAGCGGTTCACGGTGGTGGACGCCGGGAACGGGCAGATCGCGTTGCACAGCGCGCGTTGGAACCGCTTCGCAAGGACGGGGGGAGGCGTGAGCCCACTTCAGGCGGCCAGCAGGCTCCCGCCCGCGCACGCGTGGGGGGGCGAACGCTTTACCGTGGTGGTGGATGCGGCCAGGTCACAAATCGCCTTGCACAGCAACAACGCCTTCCTTCAAATGACCCCAGACGGCAACATACAAAACACCGAGCACATGAATATACACGATCTTCCGGATTCGAACACCTGGGAGAGGTTCGGTGTGTTGCAAGTGGAAGCCTATTTGGAGCCGGGTGACACGGTGGCTTTGCACAACGCAGTGCCTCGGTGATATGGGCCTGGACATGTCTCGCCAATTGATCTCAAACTGGCCTGTGTCAAAATCGCGGGAAACCAACAATTGCTGCGGTGTTCCTTTTGGTTTCCCTTCAAGCCATCCCCAAAACGGGTCCCCCCCCAAAAAAGAAAACAGATCCAAACGGCTGAAAGTTAAGAGGTTAGTTGGTCACTTGGATCTAAACAACGTGAAGGGATCTTGGACCCCCCAAATGGATGATGGACATTTGGATCAGCCACCTTGGGTCCAAGCCGAAAAAGGTGTGGACTGGCAACGCTGGAACCAAACATTTGTGCTTGTCTCAACATGCGGGTCCCCCCCAAAAAACAACATGGTTGGTTTTTGTTTGCTTTTCCAACCAAAAGCCAAGCAAACAAGGTTCGACGCAGTTGGATTTCCAAGATTTGGATCAAAGGTCCACAATCGATTTCTCCGCATGAATGCCAACGGGATCATGGACCGCAGTGACGTGCTAAACTGGAACGCCCTTAACGGAGGCTACACGTCTGAGCGGTTTACAGTTGTGGACGCTCAGGACGGCCAGGTGGGACGTTCAAAACCTGACGTTCTGTCTTTCTCAAAAACCAATATAGACCAAATTCATTCCGAACATGGGATTTGCACCCCCTCTTAGTTGGTGTTTTAAGGGACACCAAAAAGAATCCCATGCCATGTTTGTCATTTTTAAAAAAATAGAAACACAGTGGTCATTCCCTAGTGGTTGAGATTTAGAAGCTCGAGAGAAGCTTTTGTGAAACACCACTACTGCACATGGTGTTTTTTGTTTTTCTCTCTTGGTTGGGGTGATGTGTTTTTGTTTTGTTTTTTTTTGGTTCCGGCCCTCTCGTGCCCAAATGGACCGAGAGGTGGCTCTTCACTCCGCTGTCCACAATCGTTTCGTGAAGATGGATGGTGGTCACATGTCCGGGAGCGCCCACAAGGCGGCCGATGCTCTACCCCCGAAAAGCGAATCGACTTCCGAGCGCTTTGCGGTGGTACCGGCCATGCATGGCGATGAGAACGTCATCGCCCTGCACAGCACAATCCACAACCGCTTCATCTCGATGACCCCCAACGGGGTCACGGCGTATGTCGTGAACGCCCATGAACTTCCCGACGGCGCGACCTGGGAGAGGTTCCGCGTGGTGAAGCTCTGATTCGCCAGGCGCCAGGCTGTGCAAAGCACATGCGGGACAAGGGCGCCGCACGAGACCGCAGGCAAAATGTGCAGGAATTTACACAGCGCATTTTTGAGATTGGGGACGAGCTCGAAATGTCCAGAACCAGACACCCAGAGACGGGACAATGCAAATCTCAAGAAGATGAGTTTTGGGTTTCGGAAGGCCTGATCCGTGGCAATCCGCATGTCCTAAAATGGTTTGTTTTCCGTTGGTTCCCTTCGAAGCAACCCCCCTCAAAGAAACGCATGGAACTCAGGAATTTCTCCCAAGGGAGGTTTCTGAAGATGATCAGAGTCGATGTCTCAGCTGGACAATTGCCATGCCGAAAAAGGGTTTCCTCTAAAAGGCCCACTTGATTGTGTTTTTTGGGGGGCCACCCAAAAATGTTGGTTTTCCCCTGCAAATCACAAAAAACAGACACACCCATTTCTGGAGTGTGCCATGCTTTTCGACCAGATTTCAGTTTGCCCTTTTCAAGCGGAGGCTTTGCCCAGGCCTCTTGCGGCTCCCGAAGCCAGCCGCTGGCGTTCCTTCCTTACGCTGCAAGTCCTGGGCCCACAAAAAATAGGAAGCCCTAGTGAGCCTGCAAGCTTTTCCTCCTACTGGCAAATAGGATTTAGGGGATCCATATATAGTACGTATATGACCATGGGTCAAAGTGAAACCGCCAGGAATTGGACCACAGGTTTTAGTCCATGATTACATCCACCTGGGTTCCACTTTCCCGTGTTTGGCCCACAGCCATACCCAGAAAGCCCACGGGTGCTGAATTTCTGCCGCTGATTGAAATTGCACTAAATTTCACCGTTGCTGCAAACAAATGCGTGTGGTCGACACGCCGCTGGAGCAATTCGTGAATATTCAAGAACTTCAGCGCCGTTTGATTGGCAAAAAAGCGCTGTTTGATTGGCGAAGAATGCCGTCGGTAAAATTCAGTCGACCAGCTTGACCTTGTGTTTTTTTCCCCCAGACAATGCCTGGAGTCAGATGTTCCCAGACTAAAAAGCAGTTTTCGTTCAAAAGGGGTGCATTTTACACACCTTTGGATTTGCAGGTATCTACATGTGGGTTTGTCCTTTTTTGGTGTGTTGAGTTGCCTCAAAAGGCAGAAGGTGGGACCTCCCCGAATCATACCCCCGAATCATACCCCCGAATCATACCCCGAATCATACCCCCGAATCATACCCCTTAAAACGTATGCTGCAAGATGCTACTGTTCTTCTACCGTTTTGTGTTGTTCACTGTCTCCACAACAACCACCACCAGCGCTACCCAATACTACCACTACCACTGCCACTGCCGCTACTACTACTACTACTACTACTACTACTCCTACTACTCCAATTACTACTACTACTCTGACTACCACTACCACTACTACTACTATTCCTGCTGCTGCTGCTGCTGCTACTCACTACTACCACATACATCATTCTGAGTCTGTAATCAGTGCCGTTTTGCACCTAGCCGAATCATACCCGCGAATCATACCCGAATCATACCCGGACAATGAGCTTCCCCTGCCAAGGCTAGTGCTAAGTCTTTTTCACAGCGTCCGCACCACTACAGCCGCTGCTGCTTATGCTACAGCTGCTACCACTACTTCTGCAACTGCTACTACTACTACTACCACTACTACTGCTACTACTACTACTACTACCACAGCTACTACGAGTTTGTAATCAGTGCCGTTTTGCACCTAGCCGAATCATACCCGCGAATCATACCCGAATCATACCCGAATCACACCCGCGCAATGAACTTGCCTTGCCAAGGCCAGCGCCAAGTCTTTTCAAAGCTTCCGCGCCACTACGTCACCACTACTACTACTACTACCACTACTACTACTACTACTACTACTACTACTACCACGACTACTAGTACTATTACTACTACTACTACTACTACTACTACTACTACTACTAGGACTACTGCTACTACTTTTTACTACTACTCCTACTACTCCTACTACTGCTACTACTGCTACCACAACAACAACAACAACAACAACTACTACTACTACTACTACCAACTACTACTACTACTAGTATTGTTACTACTACTACTACTACCTGTACTACTACTACCTCTACTACTACTACCACTACTACTACTACTAGTACTACTACTACTACTACTACTACTACTACTAGTATTGTTACTACTACTACTACTACTACTACTATTGTTACTACTACAATATTACCACTAGTACTACTACTTCGGCGACTACTGCTACTACTACTGCTGCTGCTGCTGCTGCTTCCGCGAATCATACCCCCGAATCATACCCCGAATCATACCCGCGAATCATACCTGCGAATCATACCCCGTACTCAAACCTTCCTGCCCGGCCACCCTAAAAAAATACAAACCCATGTATATATGTATATGCAGTTCTGCTTCACCGTAGGTTGTTCTAATTAGATCCTGGTGCTCTGCAGTTTTGCCAGGTTCCCTTAGGTTTCAATCGGCGCCGGGAAGGGTTCCGTTCTCAGGGCGCTCCGGCCTTGAAGACACGAAGCGGATGCCCGGGTCCCAAGACGTTCCATGGAAAGCTTTCGAGGGTACACCATCCCCCTTTGCGAAGCCCTCGAAAGGGTGGGGCAAAGAACAAGAGTCAACAAGAGGTAAAGTCCGTTGGCTTTTTTTGAAGGGGGCAACCGAAGGAAGATGGTTTCGCTTGGCTTTTTTAGGGAGGAAAACCATGTGCGGGGCTCCGAGCCTTAAAGAGACCCAGTTGAAATGGAAGGGCTCCTTGTTTGAGGCTTGCCCTGTTTGGTGTTTGTTTTTGTTCGGAAGCCAAGAAGAGACCCACCCATGCATGTGGAGAACGTAGCCATTTTGGGGTTGTTGATATTTTAGGAACCAAAAGGAAACCCACTCATTTGGAGAATTGGAGAACCTGTGCAGGTAGCCAAACAAATGTCACCCAAACCGCCAGATTGGTGGTTTGGATTGGTGGTTTGGAGGTTAGGGGGTGGTTTCCTATCTCCATTCCCTGAGCAGGCAACTAAGGGAGCCCTTTAGAAACCAAATGGAAAGAGCAGGCTACCTAAGTGGCGAAACGCCCGGGATCAGGGTATTATGGTTGGGAGTCTGTCGACATGCTCCCAAATACCGAGTGACCCAATTGGAATGCTCGAAATTTGTTGGGTTGGTTTTGAGGACGATTTGGGCGGCACAGGATTCAAATAACAGCCATACTTTGACAACCCCATTGTATTGTATGTTTTTTTTGGTGAGCAACCGGAGTTTCGCCTGCCTGTGTCAGGTGAAGGGGTTTAGCAAAATCATTGGGCCAATTTTCTCAAGGACCCCCTTGTGGTGAGTTTTTCAGAGAGGGACGCCAAAACGTGATAGTGGTGTATGGTTTTGAACCAAAGATGCTTAAAGTGCACGTTTCGCGCAACGCGGCTTCCTTGTGTTGCTTGGCTCCACCCCTTGGTGTTGGCACAGCGCCACTAGGGAGTTGAGTAGCGGCCCTCGCAGCCGTGTAAGCTTTGAATTGTCAGAGCAAGGCATAGAGTTGACCAAGCTGGCAGAGCATGCATCGACTTTAATTCGAACTTGAAGAACAAAGGTGCAGCGATTTGCAGAGGGACATCATTTTTTCAGTCGAGAAAGTTTGAAAGAGATGCAGATGTGTCGCACTCGTTCAGAAAAAAGTTCTCTTTGGCTTTGAATGTCGGAGCCGCAGCTCCTTTCGCGATGCAGCAATTTCCGTGGACTGAGCGGGCCATCCCGATGACGGGCTGCGGCGCCTGCGGTCCCGGCGGTCCCGGCGTTCCCGGGCCAGGCGGCTGCAGCGATGGCTACGTGGTGTGCGCGCTGCCAATGGGAGGGAAACAGATGAACCCCATGCAGCGCATGAACCAGATGCAAATGATGCAGCAGATGCAGATGCAGCAAATGCAGCCCATGCAGTTTGTCCAGCAGCCGATGATGATGCAGCAACAGATGCAAGCCATGCCAATGCAGCAGAATCCCATGCAATGGCAACAGCAATGGATGGGGCAGGGCTGGGGCATGCAAGACAATCACTTGACCGCAGACAGTGACAGCAGCTGGCGAAGGCAAGGCCCTGCATCTGTTGGCCTGCAGCGGGATCAAGGCCGCGCCACAGATATGTTCATCTCCAGAAGGGATGCCCAGTCTAGCTTCAAAGGCCGACAACAGCACCAACAGCACCAGCAGCACCAGCACCAGCAGCACCAGCAGCAGCAGCAGCAGCAGCAGCAGCAGCAGCAGCAGCAGCACCAGCACCAGCACCAGCATCAGCTGCAGTGGCCGATGGTCTCCCCCAAATCTCAGCCCTCTCAACCCTCGATCCAGCCAAAGCCGAAGACGAAGCCCGTGTCTCTCCCGCACAATGGGCCAAGCGACGTATGCCACGGGCAGGATCGGAGTTCCCATGGCATTGCTCAAGCTGGGGGGGGTTCTGGCCAGCAGCGGGATTTCGGCTACATGGGCCAATGGTCGGCACCGTTTGCTAGGGTGACCCAAAACATGGCTCCCAGTTCCCTTTTCCAGGTCTGTGTCTCCCAAGCTTGTGCCCCACCCACATGCCAGGATTATTCAAGAAGGAAACATGACGTCGAAAGTATGGTCCGGGGTCCCTAAAGGTTCCATGTTTTTGTTTTGGGATTCTTGCTGGTTCTTTGGAGGGAATCACCAAGTTGCGGGAAACCTGGCGGCCCCTGGCGATCCCCTAAGAAACCAGTTGGATGGTTTTGGGTTCATTCCAACTCAACGATCCCTCGAAGCAATTTTGAGAGGAGGAGATGAAGCTGGTGGGAATCACCTTGTCTTCGGATGAGGACCAGGAAGCTGAGGAGGCCCCGAGCTTCAAGTTTTGTGTCGGTCGAATTTCGTTTGAAGCCTCAGCCTTCGACATGTTGTTGGTATGTTTGGCATGTAGTTTCGCTTTACCCAACAGGTGACCAGTTGGTTTTTGTCAGACATTCCAGGTTGGTGCAAAGGGAAACCAACAGGAAGCACCACTCATTTTGGGGGCAAATCCCCATGACACCCACACACAGCACAAATGGTCTCTTTTTGAGGGACAACAACAAGGGGCATTTCCTTTGACCCCGTGTTTTGAGCTTTGCGCAACCAGCCCTCCCGCATGATGGCTTTGAGTAATGGTAACACCATCTCCAACATGGTGGGACAATGTGCGGCACACATCCAAGATGTCTACTATCATACTATCCCGGAGTGAAATTCCCACCGCGGCAACCCGACTCTCAATGTTTCAAAGAATGGTCTCGGAAAAGCTCCAGCGAGTGGGTCTTGCCGGAAAAGGAGCTCCAAGAGTTTCTGCAAATATGACTTCATGAGGTGTTTCCCAGAAATGGGTGGGGGTTGATCAAAAGTGTTTCCCAGTGAATTGGATAAGTTACCCAGCAGGGTCAGTTCAGGGCCAGGAATATTGATCACCATGTGTCAAAACGGGGATTCTCAAAGAAAGGCTCGGGATACAAGTCAAGCGAATGTCCAACTTTGACAGTTTTCGGCAATTGAGACTGGCGATATGGATCCAACCGTCCAGGCAATTCAAGAGGCAAATGTGCAGCCGGTATTTGAAGTGGAGGACAGGGCTTTACAGCTGCCATGCGGGCTGTCAATTCTCAGGCTTTCCATGTGGGGCATTTACCCTCCAAATGTGCCAAATGTCGGTATATATTACCTACTCGGAGTATGCCGTTGGGCGCCAAATCAAGCGACTTGAACCGTCCGAAGCGAGCGTAGCTCTTTGCTGCTAAAAGCAAGGATGACGTTCCATGCACCGTAATGACATGATGCAGGAGAAGAATGGACAGGAATTGCCGGAGGCAGGTTTCCAGTTTCCGGACTGACACTCAGCCGGAGGCTGAAATGGCGAAAGCAGGTTTCGAAGATACTCAGACCAATTGCTTTTGCAACACGCAATGGGGAAAGTCCATGCCGACCTCAGTTGTTGAATTATTCGGCTGTGGGTAAAAACCAATGGTACCATTTTTGGGTAGGTGCACCACCCATTTTAGAGCCTATTTTAGTGGGGATTGGGATGTGGGGGTACGGGATTTTGACCCATGGCCAATTGTTTAGAGCAAGCGCAGCTCGTAAAAGCAGGCGAACGGAAGCTTCCAACGTTTGAACCGACCAGGCGATACCAGAATGGAGCTTGCCGCCGATCGGTGAGGCGCCAATTCAGGACGGACTGCTGATTGTATGCGGTGGTGTGGGGGCTGTTCGAGCGCGAGAAGACTAAACTCATTTCAACCCCACTTGAAACTCACCCTGAACCCACTTCCGCCCTAAACCCACCCCAAACCCGTTCCGAAAACAGCCCTAAACCCATCTTCGGCCAATCTACCTGATATGTGCCGACACATGTTGGAAAACGGTTACTATGGCCCT